GAACATCTCTTGATTGAGTTTCTGAATCACCCTGTTTTTTCTCTCTGCTGATTGATTGAATAACAACGACAGCGTGGAACCCATCACGATGACAAATGGGAAATGTCGTTTCTCTCTCGATTTCCCTTTTCTACAACCCTCACTTTGAAGTCGAATGAAATTCAAAATACATCACCCACATAGATACACGTCACAGATTTGAATAAGGTGGGAAAGTCCCCGTTCTGTGATATCATCCACTGGCATTTTAGGTCAAGCAAAAGTACTGAAAATGACCTCTGAAAAGTAGGTACATCAGTCAAGTCAGTCTCGTTAGCTCTTTTTTTATGAAGTACGATTTCATCATTTTTTATGGGTATTTTTTATAACTAAACGTATACAGTTTCAATATCGATATTTGTGTAGGAATAGTTTGGTTCCCCGTGAACAAAACCCCACGAAAATATATTGTCCTTACCCACAGCTAATTCTCACCAAGTGACCTGAGTTACAATTAACTAGTGCTGAGCATAGCGGAGTTATTCCCCCTTTTCTTTGTACATGTGTAACGTCTCTGTCGCCTTTTGACGTCATAGAGAAAAATCAGTTTTCGTCATTTACGGCATGCTATTTTTGGCATTGAATGTATGTCGTTATACCTACGCATATAACTCCATTTCATATATAGTTATGTCGTTTAGATATTAGGCAGTATTTTGTTCGCTCACAGTTTCCGTAAAGCTTCTAAATGAAAGAAATCGTCGCACAGTACTAGTACAACTAGGCTACACCACCGCCCCTCGTTCTGATTACAACTAGGCTACCCCACCGCCCCTCGTTTGATTACAACTAGGCTACCCCAAAGCCCCTCTCTGATTACAAATAGGCTACCCCACCGCCCCTCGTTCTGATTACAACTAGGCTACCCCACCGCCCCTCTCTGATTACAACTAGGCTACACCACCGCCCCTCGTTCTGATTACAACTAGGCTACCCCACCGCCCCTCGTTTGATTACAACTAGGCTACCCCAAAGCCCCTCTCTGATTACAAATAGGCTACCCCACCGCCCCTCGTTTGATTACAACTAGGCTACCCCACCGCCCCTCTCTGATTACAAATAGGCTACCCCACCGCCCCTCTCTGATTACAAATAGGCTACCCCACCGCCCCTCTCTGATTACAACTAGGCAACCCCACCGCCCCTCTCTGATTACAAATAGGCTACCCCACCGCCCCTCGTTCTGATTACAACTAGGCTACCCCACCGCCCCTCGTTTGATTACAAATAGGCTACCCCACCGCCCCTCGTTTGATTACAACTAGGCTACCCCACCGCCCCTCGTTTGATTACAACTAGGCTATCCCAAAGCCCCTCTCTGATTACAAATAGGCTACCCCACCGCCCCTCGTTTGATTACAACTAGGCTATCCCAAAGCCCCTCTCTGATTACAAATAGGCTACCCCACCGCCCCTCGTTTGATTACAACTAGGCTACCCCACCGCCCCTCGTTCTGATTAAAACTAGGCTACCCCACCGCCCCTCTCTGATTACAAATAGGCTACCCCACCGCCCCTCGTTTGATTACAACTAGGCTACCCCACCGCCCCTCGTTTGATTACAACTAGGCTACCCCTTCGCCCCTCGTTTGATTACAACTAGGCTACCCCTTCGCCCCTCGTTTGATTACAACTAGGCTACCCCACCGCCCCTCGTTTGATTACAACTAGGCTACCCCAAAGCCCCTCTCTGATTACAAATAGGCTACCCCACCGCCCCTCGTTCTGATTACAACTACGCTACCCCACCGCCCCTCGTTTGATTACAACTAGGCTATCCCAAAGCCCCTCGTTCTGAATGCAAATAGGCTACCCCACCGCCCCTCGATCTGATTATGATTTTGGTTCTTCAGCAATATACCCGTGCCCGTTGGTTTCAACACTGCAGTTTACACATTTGGAATATAAACGTCAACGCCAGAGAATAACCAGTCTTGATTATCCAACGAAACTGATTCCACTGGGCTTTATGTGAGAAAATAGCGGCGGAAATAATATGAATTGATCACTGAAAAACGGTGACGACACCAGGTGTTCCAGACAATGGTAATGTCCTTCCCTACTGAAGGAAGACACTCATTTTGATGCAGATGAGACCCTATAGGCCCTCTGGATGCTGTGCTAAGCCAGCTCTCCATATCCATGACAACCCAAACCACAGCATCCAGTGGGACAAAGTCAAATCCCTCCAGACTCCAACCATCAATCAACCGTGACCCAGGCTATTACGTACACCTGGCGTACCGTCAACTCATCAAAGACCCAAAACAGTAGACAATCTTTTTGTTCGCTGGTCAATGTGTTTTACCCTTTTGTGTACATAGCAGGCTTCTCCTCTCCAGTGTAACTACATCTGATATCTTCTCTACTGTATAAACACTGTCTCCTACCTGTATATATACTTGTTGACTGACACTGGGAGAGTGTTCTGGGGACGAACATCAAACCCTTTGGTTAAAAAGATATGGCAAGACAAAAACGCTCGAGATGAGGCCCTAGCTCGAAAAAATCCCTCACTAAAGCCATCTGGGATATTAGTACGTGAACTCATTCGAAGTCACAACTGCGATGACATTCAGCCTCCAGAAAGTCACTACAAAGGGTTACACCCTCCCTGGACTTTACAAACTCCCAAAGTTGACACTGCTTTAACATCAGAAGTCACTAAAAGAGAAAACCCAACCCTACTACGATCAGTAGCTATCACTAAAATTCAAACTACCTGGGACAGCTGGGCCCATATATACACTGATGGATCCAAGAATCCTATCAACAACAGTGCTGGTTACGGGATCCATATCCACAGCTCCAAACCCCAAGCACATTCAGTTCGCTTGCCCGATGGTCAGTCAGTATTCACGGCTGAATTGGAGGCAATTCATCATGCACTCAAACTCATACCGGAACTCCCGGAAGCAAAGGCAGTCATCCTATCAGACTCGCTAAGTGCACTTCAGGCCATCAGTGGAAGAAACTCAAACTCCAGGCCAAACACAGTCAACAATATTCTATACGAATATACAAAACTATCGGACCAAGGGCAACAGGTGGAGCTGTGTTGGATCCCCTCTCACATAGATATTCATGGAAATGAAAAAGCAGACTCACTGGCGAAGCTAGCTCTAGACAAAGCGGATATACAGCCTATTCCCTTTAGTAAACTAGAGATAAAAAGCAAAATCAAAGCCTCCATAGCAAAAAGATGGCAAACCCAATGGGACGCAAGTAAGATCGGCAGATGGCTATACAAAATTCAACCCAAGGTCCAGCAAAAGCCAAACTCATACTCAAATGAAAGGAAAATTGAAACTGCTATCTCACGCCTCAGACTTGGTCACAAAAAGCACTATGACAAGGTTTGTTCATCTTGCAATCAGGCTGAAACCATTGACCACCTGTTACTAGAATGTCAAGACCATGCCCCAGCCCGGGCTAGGTTAAAACAAGAATTGCAGTTAGATCCGCTATCTGTCATAGATCTCCTAAAGCCAAGAGATGCAATAGCGAAGGCCAAACTAACTCTATTTCTGAGAGATGGACAGCTGCTCGAACGTATATGGACAGAGCAGCCAAGGATAAAAATGAAATCATATCAATATAAGAAAATAGAAATCATATCAATGCAAAAACAGAAATTTTGTCACAATAGATATGTGAACCCTTCTCACACACAGGAGTCCCAAAGAGGGACAGGTCAGCCGAAATTGCCTAGGCAGAAGGCGACCTCTTAAACACCTAATGCAACAACAACAACTGGGAGAGTACCCGAGTTTGCTGCCAGGAATACAGCCCTTCTGATAATCTGGGTAATGCAGAAGGCTGCAGTGTTGGGGATTCTTCACACTGTCCGAAATGTTCTTGGTGGGTTCGACTAGGCACTGATTCATGGGAAAAAGTCCCATTCGCTGTCTTGGCTGTGTGTAGAGGGGGAAAGGACCATGAGCTGATGATGAGCCTAACAAGCCTGAGTGTGTCAGGATCACCCAAACCCTCTTGGCTGCTTTTCAAATTTAATCTGTATATAATAAGAATAGTTATAATGTGCATAATTATAATGCTTAACTGGACCATTCTATAGTTACCTGAACGTATTGTCGCGTCGTCGTGGTCAATGCTCGCCATGACGCTACAACTCGCCTGGTCTGCCAAGGGTAATTTAAATCACGGAGTAATTGGTCTGTCGGGCCCTTACTCTGAACTCCGAACTGTCTCCATCAGCATTTGCTCTTTGCTGCTTTTCAAATTTAATCTGTATATCATATGAATAGTTATAATGTGCATATTTATAATGCGCCCTTAAACGTAGTCAAAGCACTTACATTATTACCCCGGTCAAAAGATCAGCGTGCACTCAATTTCATTCTCAGTATATGATGAGTATAAAAATCGATTTCTTGCTTAAGTAATTTAATCCTCCAAAAGACGTCCTCTACAAAATCATCATGATCAATGACAACTGGATCTCGTTGGCATCATTAAGTACGAGGGCTGGTCAAAATGTTCTCAGCCTAACAAAGAAAAACAACAATTGTGAAAGTGTTTTTAATTATATTTTTCAACATAATCTTAATGCTTTTCAATACTCTTCACATGTCATATAGTGAAGCTTTTCATTTCCATTACGGAAGAAGTTGTCTGAAGCCTCCCTGCAAAAAACAATTCACGGCAGCTTTGAGGTCATCGTTGTCGTCATAGCACTTTCCCCGAAGGAAACAAGTGGAAATCACTTGGTGCCAGGTTTGGCGAGTATGGAGGGTTAGAAAGCTCGTCGAAACCCACATTGTCGCACAAAAGCCTTTGCAAGTCGAGAGATGTGAGAAGAGGCATTGTCAGGACAGAGTAGAACTCCAGCAGTCAGCATTCCGTGCCGCTTCTCTCTGATAGAACCTCTCAGGCGATGAAGCAAATCAGCACAGTAGGCACCGGTAATCGACTTTCTAAGTAATCAACAAGGATCACACCTTTTGCGTCCCAGAATACAGTAGCCATAACTGTCTTCCCTGATCTTGAACCCTTGAATTTCTTTGGTGCCAGCGTAGTGAAATGGTGCAGTTCTGTTGATTCCCATTCCGACACATAGTGGTAGACCCACGTTTCATCACTCGTTACTAATCTCTTTTTGAATTTGACGAAATCCTGCTCAATTAGCTCTAACTTTTCTCTGGCAATGTCAGTTCCTTCTTCCTTAAGATTAGTATTTAGAAACTTTGGCACTCAATGATCATATATCTTATTCATCTGTAAATGTTCATGAATAATAGTTTCAATGGATTCATGGCATATACCTGTGTATTCCTCAAGTTCAGCAATGGTAATACGTCCATCTGACATTATAAGTTTTTCTATTTCCTTGATTGATTTGAATTGAATTGATGGAAGTTGAGGGACAACCGAGATCTAGGGTCATCATCAAGGCTTGTTCTCCCAGCCAGAAACATAGCTGCACAACGTTTAACAGTTGTATAGATAGGGCACCTATCCCCACACACTTGTGCCATGCGGTATCAATTTCTTGGTGAGTACTGTACTCTAAAATAAAAAAGTTGATGACTGCTCGGTTCTCGTTCTTTTCCATTTCTGTGTCCAATTGGACACCGATCACGTTCAACTTCTATATAACACTAATATATAAACGGCCTTAAGACCAAACACTTGCGCTGAACTACTCAAACGATGAACAACATTGACTAGTTCACTTTGTTATGGCCCATACTTGAAAGTAAGTCAGGCTTAGAACCTTTTTACCAGCCCCATACACAATCAATTTAGACTTTTTGGGGAAATTTTGATTATTCCATAAAAGGTTTACAAACAATGGAAGTAATTAGCTTCAGTTACAGTGCTAATTGGCACGTACCAAACTTGAAGAAAAAGAGATTGATCTTTTCATTTGAAGCAATTTCCGTTTCAAATTGGAAACACGATATTCCAAATGTAATACCATGACAACCATTGTCTTGTTTCATTACCCCTCAAAAAGACAAATGAATCAGACGTTCTCTACAAAATAGCCAGTGGCATCAGAGAACCATCTATTTTTATCATGGAGCGCTTAAGTTACTGAATCAATCATACGAATACGTAATTCATGAGTTACTAAGTTTCAATTACAGTGCGAGAAGACGTTGATCTTTTCATTTTGATTTTGAAGGATCTGCATAGCACACTCGTGGACAATTCAACTTTTCAAATTTGAAACATGATGTTTCAAACGTTGGGCAGCTTTCTGCAATTAGAAGTAATTGGCATTCGTTTTCTGATACGTACAAGCTTGATACAGTTAACATATACATGTTTGCTGGATATACAATTCGGAACGCGCCACATGGGAGCAACCTTTAAGACTTCCGAATCGTCATCTTTGTACGATTGTGCTGCTGAGTGTGTTTCCTATAAGATGTGCAAATCCTTCAATTTCGATCTGGAACGAGGAACATGTCACTTAAATAGTGTTGATGACGCCCAATATCTAGAAGGTTCAAGGAAAGAGGCTGACTTCATCTACAGTTCGATAATCAACTGGAACCAGGTAATTGAGTTTGTCTCTATTCGAGTAAAAACAAGATTTACTGGACACTGTGGCGAGCATATGCAGGGTTAGATATTGGCACTAGTCCTGTAGTCCTTGCCAAACTGACCAATAGTAAAGGTATCCTAAGGACTAGTAGAAATTGGTCATTTTTAAAGGTTTTGCTGTATGTTATCATTATAAGGACTAGTGGACTGAACCTGTTAGTTTCTACCACTGATGTGCATGTTGAAATATCTTACCTTTACAGTACGACTGAATATTCCTTGGTATATTTACTGTTACAGACCCAACTTGGTCCATGTCAGAACAACCCATGTGGATACACACAAAGATGCAGCACAGAGAGAAATGGTGCCAATGAGTGTGGTATGTCTGCATTTCTAATTCAGTGTGTGTTTCAGTTGCATTGGCATTTATAATGAATCCACCACCATATGTTAATTCAAAGCGATCTTATTACTTCATGAGTGAGTGAGTGAGTATAATTTTATGTAACTTTTAACTATATTCCAGAAATGGGCTTTTCCCGTTGTGGCCATGTGGTGAATAGAACCCAGACCTTCTACGTGACGAGTAAACCACGTGGCTACCCCACCGTCCCGTACACTTGTAGAAGTTTATTGAGATGAAACACCACATTTTAATACTTAATACGTTTTACTGTGAATATTACGGTAACTATTGTATAATAGGCCAAGAGCATTAGATATAAGCTTGAAAAGATAGTAGCAAGCTTATTTATGTCCAAGATAGCTGCAATTGTTTTTAAAATGATATGAAATTTTGTAGAGTTACATTCATGATATCATGCAATATATCACATGGAAGCTCTTTTTATAGGCTTTCACATACTACTGATTTGAACCTTTTTTTTGTTTCATAAGCATTTGATGTATTATTTAACAAGTTTTTTTGCGGAATACCCGGCAATAGGTTGACCAATGACAAAAACAATCAATACAAGTGTCAATACAAGTGTTTTACTACTTTCTTACATAATAGTAGGATAGCCAAGTACTATTAAAATCAATCACCTGGTGATGCTGGAAGGATATTAGGTCCCTGGGAATTATATCGAGTGTCATGATATTGTTCATGAGCTGCTGCAAAATAGTTAACACTTGTGTCCACATAGAGCAGTTTATGCATGTCGGGGTATGTGAACGCTTCCTTATATCAGTCTGTCCACCCAGATCGTTTGTTTCACCAATACTTATGGCAATATCTGTCAACATCAATCGCAAGTACGAGAATCGAGAATTGTTTCAGATTCTGAGTAGTTTGACATTTGCTGAATATAGGGAGCTCCTGTGTCAATACCATGCGCTACTCACAGATGAGAAATCGTGTGGCCTTGTAATTTATATCTTTGACAACGCCAGTATCAATGTTAGTCCTAGTGAACGAATACAAAAATCGCACTGTATCAAGATTCAAATCTATCACGATTGGCCTCTTGAACTTTCAAAGCTAAATGCAGCACTCCAGAAGATGGTGAAATGCAGCACTCCAGATGATGGCGAAACGCAGCACTACAGAAGATGGCGAAATGCAGCACTCCAGAAGATGGCGAAATGCAGCACTCCAGATGATGGCGAAATGCAGCACTCCAGAAGATGGTGAAATGCAGCACTCCAGATGATGGCGAAACGCAGCACTCCATAAGAACGAGGAACATGTCACTTAAATAGTGTTGATGACGCCCAATATCTAGAAGGTTCAAGGAAAGAGGCTGACTTCATCTACAGTTCGATAATCAACTGGAACCAGGTAATTGAGTTTGTCTCTATTCGAGTAAAAACAAGATTTACTGGACACTGTGGCGAGCATATGCAGGGTTAGATATTGGCACTAGTCCTGTAGTCCTTGCCAAACTGACCAATAGTAAAGGTATCCTAAGGACTAGTAGAAATTGGTCATTTTTAAAGGTTTTGCTGTATGTTATCATTATAAGGACTAGTGGACTGAACCTGTTAGTTTCTACCACTGATGTGCATGTTGAAATATCTTACCTTTACAGTACGACTGAATATTCCTTGGTATATTTACTGTTACAGACCCAACTTGGTCCATGTCAGAACAACCCATGTGGATACACACAAAGATGCAGCACAGAGAGAAATGGTGCCAATGAGTGTGGTATGTCTGCATTTCTAATTCAGTGTGTGTTTCAGTTGCATTGGCATTTATAATGAATCCACCACCATATGTTAATTCAAAGCGATCTTATTACTTCATGAGTGAGTGAGTGAGTATAATTTTATGTAACTTTTAACTATATTCCAGAAATGGGCTTTTCCCGTTGTGGCCATGTGGTGAATAGAACCCAGACCTTCTACGTGACGAGTAAACCACGTGGCTACCCCACCGTCCCGTACACTTGTAGAAGTTTATTGAGATGAAACACCACATTTTAATACTTAATACGTTTTACTGTGAATATTACGGTAACTATTGTATAATAGGCCAAGAGCATTAGATATAAGCTTGAAAAGATAGTAGCAAGCTTATTTATGTCCAAGATAGCTGCAATTGTTTTTAAAATGATATGAAATTTTGTAGAGTTACATTCATGATATCATGCAATATATCACATGGAAGCTCTTTTTATAGGCTTTCACATACTACTGATTTGAACCTTTTTTTTGTTTCATAAGCATTTGATGTATTATTTAACAAGTTTTTTTGCGGAATACCCGGCAATAGGTTGACCAATGACAAAAACAATCAATACAAGTGTCAATACAAGTGTTTTACTACTTTCTTACATAATAGTAGGATAGCCAAGTACTATTAAAATCAATCACCTGGTGATGCTGGAAGGATATTAGGTCCCTGGGAATTATATCGAGTGTCATGATATTGTTCATGAGCTGCTGCAAAATAGTTAACACTTGTGTCCACATAGAGCAGTTTATGCATGTCGGGGTATGTGAACGCTTCCTTATATCAGTCTGTCCACCAAGATCGTTTGTTTCACCAATACTTATGGCAATATCTGTCAACATCAATCGCAAGTACGAGAATCGAGAATTGTTTCAGATTCTGAGTAGTTTGACATTTGCTGAATATAGGGAGCTCCTGTGTCAATACCATGCGCTACTCACAGATGAGAAATCGTGTGGCCTTGTAATTTATATCTTTGACAACGCCAGTATCAATGTTAGTCCTAGTGAACGAATACAAAAATCGCACTGTATCAAGATTCAAATCTATCACGATTGGCCTCTTGAACTTTCAAAGCTAAATGCAGCACTCCAGAAGATGGTGAAATGCAGCACTCCAGATGATGGCGAAACGCAGCACTACAGAAGATGGCGAAATGCAGCACTCCAGAAGATGGCGAAATGCAGCACTCCAGATGATGGCGAAATGCAGCACTCCAGAAGATGGTGAAATGCAGCACTCCAGATGATGGCGAAACGCAGCACTCCATAAGAACGAGGAACATGTCACTTAAATAGTGTTGATGACGCCCAATATCTAGAAGGTTCAAGGAAAGAGGCTGACTTCATCTACAGTTCGATAATCAACTG